GGAAAACGATAGAAAAAGAGAAAAGAAGGAGATAGGAAAACCGAAAAAAGAAAAGAGACAAGACATAAATTTAACAAAACAGGAGTGGGGGCGCAGGAATCATGCTGTAAACCCGCAAAGAGAGAAGAAAACGACAAAAAAAAGGAAGAGAAAAAGGGAGATAGATGGCAAAACGACAAGAAAAGAGACCACAAAAACAGAAAAAAAAACAGTAAGAGGGGGCATGTTAGTAAAACCGAAAGAAAGGAAAAACGACAGAAAAATGAGAGAGGGAAATAAACCAAGAGATTAGCAGAAACAACGACAACAACAAGAGAGAGTTGGTGAGGAAAATACTGTTGTTTAGAAACTAACATACTAAGATAGTAAAAGGAAAAAAGGAAAAGAAAACTGGAAATATATAGAAATGATAGAAAAATGGATAGCACAAGTGAGTCAGCTGGTGCCACTCCCCCCCCCCCACCCCCCCCCGCCACTCAAGAAATAGAAAAATAGACAAGTGAGTCAGCCGAGTGCCACCCCCTCCCACCCCCCCCCCCCCCCCCCCCCCCCAAGAAATAGATAATAGACAAGTGAGTCAGCTCGGTGCCCACCCCTCTCGCCCCCCCCCCCCGCCCCCCCCCCCCCGCTGCTTCAAGAAATAGATAATAGACAAGTGAGTCAAGGCTCAGGGTGCCACCCCCCACCCCCACACCCCCCCCACCCCCCCCCACCCCCGAGCCAGAACAGCCTGAAAACGTGTTTTCATGCTAAGCCTTTCTCTCCTCTTGGACCCGAGACCAACTAGTCTTTAGAAATGTCTTGTAGGATTTTTTTTCCTTTTTTCCTTTTTTTTTCTTTTTTTTTTTTCGTTTTTATTCTGTGAAATAGATAAATAAAATAAAAAAGTGTGAGCGTGGATGTCTCACGTATGTCTTTCATCATAATTTTCCTGTTTGTTGTTTTAAATGGTGTTACCCATTTCTTTATATACATATTTTTTTCTTAAACGTGTGTTATGTATGTATATAAATATCTTCTCCAGTGATGTATATGCGCTATGATTTAATCTCAGACGCTTGTGTAATCTTTCTTGGTCTTTGCCGCTGTCTCTATTGCACTGGCAACATGTAGCAAGATCGTCAGGAACTTTATCTTGTACAATGTAACACTCTTTCTCTCTTTCTCTATGTCTCTGTCTGTCTGTCTGTTTCTTTTTTTCTGTCTGTTTCTTTCTCTCTGTCGGTCTCTGTCTCTCTTTCTTCTTTCATTTCATTTCTTTCTTTCTTTTCTCTTCTTTCTCTCTCATTCTCTCTCTCTCTCTGTCTCTCTCTCTCTCTCTCTCTCTCTCTTCTCTCTCTCTCTCTCTCTCTCTCTCTCTCTCTCTCTCTCTCTCTCTCTCTCTCTCTCTCTCTCTCTCTCTCTCTTACGATCTCTCCCCCCTCTCTATTTCTGCCTCTCTCTTTATCATATTTATTATTATCATTATTATTATTTTTGATTATAGCATCATTGTTACTATTATAATAATCGCCAAAATGGAAAGTCCGCGACACATTGCAAAAAAAAGGGAGGGAAAAAAATTGCCCAGCGACGAAAATGCAACATTGCGATGCGAATTATAATCATCCAGTGATAGCGTAAACCAGCGCTGATAGCATGATGGGAAGATGAGAAGGTTGCAAAACAGATATATTATTTATAATTTTTATTTATTAATTATTTTTTTTTGGGGGGGGGGGGTGGAGTTCTGTGAAGTTACCGCAAGAGTGGATTCATAAGCTTTCTGACTTGTTTTTTTTATCTGTTTTGTTTCTTGTCAGTTCTCTTTCTCTCTCTATATATATGTCTATCTATCTATCTATTTATCTATCTTTCTCTTTCTCTCTCTCACTATCTACCTCTCTCTTCTCGCTCTTACTCTCTCTCTCTCTCTCTCTTCTCTCTCTCTCTCTCTCCTCTCTCTCTCTCTCTCTTCTCTCTCTCTCTCTCTCTCTCTCTCTCTCCTATATATATATACTATATATATATATACTATATATATATATATATATATATATATAATAAACGTATATACTGGGTATGATATCTCTTTNCTATTTTTTCTTTTCTTTTCTTTTTTTAATACCTGGGTTTCATTTTGATTCGTTTTAAGCCTTTTCAAAAATACTGACTTTGATTCTCAACTGTTCATGGTATCAATTTCGGTTTTCCATCAGGAGTGTGGGGGAGGGGGGGGGAGAGGGGAGGGGGTTTATTGGAGAGTTATTCGTCATAAGATAAAAAAAAAAAAAATAATCTAAAGATAACAAGTAGTCATTGAAGTCAAATTAATGGATGATATATTTTCAAGTATGTGTACATCATTACAAGGATTTTCTTTTTCTTTCTATTTCATTTTATCATTATTTTTTTCTTCTTTTTAACCTTTTTTATTTTTTATCGCACAAGGAAGAAATACATTGTTTCATACACACTTGTATTTAAATTAGAAACTCGAAATAAATAAACCTTCTATTCT